GAACGCAATTTGGGCCGACGCGCCACCCATATCGAGGAATCCGTAGGTGCTGTGTCCCTTTCCATGATCGTGTTTCTCCGGGGCATCAAAGGATCCCATTAGGTAGTTTGTCGCAATCCATCCGTAGAGTCCCTCGGTCACACCCGGAATCACCTGAATGTGAACACCACAGTCTGGAAGCAAAAAGTCCGAGTTATCACGAGCATAAGAACAGATCCGATCCAGAAGTAATTGTCGTTCGAGGTTTCCTAGTAGTCGCATGCCCGCAGTGGCCAGGAGAAATATGGGAGTGTCCTTGGCATCCTCGATAGGAATGATTTCCTTGGCGTGGTCTAACAGTTGAGCGAGATGGTCCGACCCAACTAATTCGGGTCTATTGGCGAATGAAGAAACGCCTTTTGCGCGGATAGATTAGTGACGGGGTTGGTGATTTGGGATTCGCTCAGGGGCTCACCAGGGCGAATCTTCTTCGTCCATTCCTCCTTAGTTTTGATTTCCGGTAGCGATTTCAACTCCTCCACATGGGCGTTCTTTCGTGCAGCGGCATTTCGTAGCCATCGGTAAACGTGTACGCGAGTCCCCTATCTTGATTAGTGATATGAGTCCGAATTTCTAGAACCAGGTCGACATACAGACGAGCCCGCGTCCAGGACGACACCATAACGCCCTAATAGAAAGGTTAACTCGCCGCATCATGAAAGTTGAGGGGACTCCATACATTTGCCCATTTGGACTTTTGATTATTCGCAGATCATGACAAACTTGTCAAAAAGGGACAATATCAAATCAAGCAAGAAATAGGTAAACGAATGACAAATGAAGAAGACTTGAGAGAAAGAGAGAGAGAGGAGAACCCAAGGGCAAAGATAAGGCCAAAAACGGCCTGGACGCGACGACTCCGAGGCGGTACGAAACATGACAGGCCAGACTGTGACATTTAAACGGTAAAATGGGCCCAGATTGGTCTGCATTAGGAAAAGTGGGGTAATTTAAAGGTAATGTAACTGTCCGTGACCAAAATTCTTTTTTTTTTTTCTTTTCAATTATTTCTTATATCGAGTAACATTATCCAAGGAGTACAAATATTGTATTTTCTATAGTCTCACGGCATAACATTTTGATCTTGACAGAGTTCCACTTAGACTATCTCAACTTCATAATTCGGATATATATTCCAGCCTTGTTATGGAATGTGAAGGGCTTACACTCGAGGGGTATACGTCAGCCTTCGGCCTTGGAGGCCGGAGATTCGTTGCGTCACCAAGGGTCTTGTACGTCTTGGCCAAGACATTTCATATTTGCTATATTGTATGGTCCAAATTGACCATCGTTTCAATGTTCTATATAAAATGCCTTTGCTACATAATAATTGGTATATAGCTATCGGCTTACTTCTTAGACCTCTAGCTAAAACATTATGGACAAATGAAAGAGAAAAAAAAAAGGCACAGAAATAAAACTAGAAACATTCAAGTCCATAAATCCGAGACAGGTTACATGTTCTACAATTCAAAGTCAAGAGACGTAACCCTGTCAGTTCTTCGTTTCCTGAGAACCAACCACTACAGGAACCTGCCCATCAAGCACACTCGATGAAGACCCGCATAGATCGTCGAGGAGCGCCCGCTCGCCAATCTGCTCATCAATAAACTGCGCGCGGTCCAAGCCAATCATTTCCGCATCCTCATGCACCCGCAACTGCATCCCCGGGATGAACTTGAGAATGTAAAGTAGGATACACGAGACAATGAAAGAATATGCCGAGATAGCACACACCTCGGCCAATTGTTTCCCAACTTGCACTCCATTGCCGTCAATGCCCCCTCTAGCTTCGGTCACGCCATCCAACGCCGCAATAGACTGCGACGCAAAGATCCCGGTAAGGAACGCCCCCACCATCCCGCCGATACCATGCAGCTTGAATACATCCATCCCCTCGTCGATGTGTAACCACTCATTGATGTCTTGAAGGAGGGCGCAGACAATGCTCGTGAGGAACCCGATAAGGGCAGCAAGCCACACGGAGACAAAGCCGGCGGCTGGCGTGATGCCAACTAGCCCTGCGATTGCGCCTTCACATGCTCCTACTACCGAGAACTTCCCGCGGTGCTTGATATAGTCGACTAGCACCCATCCTAGTACTCCTGTGCAAGCCGCAGTGTTGGTATTAAATGCCGCTAGCATTGCCCGTACGCTAGCATTAAGAGCCGAGCCGCCCTAAGAACTGTCAGTGAGCTTTTAGACACAAGGACACAGGTGTGGCATACATTGAACCCAAACCATCCAAACCAGATCAAGGTCGTCCCCAAGAAGACCAAGGTGGTATTGTGGGGCTTCACATGTGAAGGCTGGTCGATATTCTTGCGCTGCCCCAGAACAAAGGCATAAGCCAATGCCGACCACCCAGAAGCGATGTGAACCGGGCCACCACCGGCGAAATCAAGCGATGGGAGATTATACAGCCACCCGTTGCTATTCCAGGTCCAACAGGCTAGGGGGCAGTAGACGACGGTCGCCCAACAGAAGCTGAAGATTAGCGAGGGGATCATGTTGCCTCGTTCGAATGCTCCGCCGACAACGATCATTACCTACCACAGGATTCTATTAGCTTTGATTCCACATGTGTTGCCAGGCGTTGCTTACCGTGCATGCGCAGAACAGAAGCTGATAAAAGCAGAATACAATTTCTGGGAGATCAGCTGAGCCAGGCGATGGTGCTACCATGACACCTCTCAAGCCAAAGTTCGTAAGGGTTCCAATGAATGGACTTGCATCCCGGGCATAGGCCAACGAGTAACCCCAGAATATCCATTGGAACGTTACGCTGGTGGGATCTTTCGTGTCAGTACGACGTACGCTTGGTTTTTGAAGACATCAACATACACAGCCACAACCATGAACGCCTGGAAGAGTAATGCCAGCGCTGACTTTCTCCGTGCAAGACCACTGTAGAGAAGACCAATGCCGGGGATAATCAACCAAACAATGAACGAGCAAAGGATGATGTAGGTATAGTTCCACTCGACGCCTGCATATTGAGCATTTACGTTGACCTTGAGGGGATCTCCGCCTGTTGGGGTAGACGCATTGTATACTGGCTATATGATATGACTGTATCAGCTGTTTGTAAATGTCATTTCGATCATACTATAGACTTACAGCGTCGGCCATGGTGAGAGCTAGAATGGATATCCTAAATCCTTGGTTCAGGTCCACAGCACATATATCTACTAGCAGAGTGGACCCCCCCCCCATAGCTCATAATAGCTAGAACAAAGGCTTCCAAGCCTCTTATCTATGTCATGACAAGAGCCAAGACTTTATTACATCAATGGGGAGCTTTAGATCTGTAGTAGTTACCCACAGTTCATGAGAAATCCCCGACTCCCCTCAATTTCTATGATTGTCAGATCAATTATTCATGATAAGAGGGCTCAAGTTGATCTGATCTCTGATAAGGATCCGAGAAAATAGGCTTCATAGAGTTTCAACCATCCAATTACGTCTTGTTCTCGTGCTGACCCCGGATCTTACAACCTTCTAGGGCTTAGGCTCTTGTTATCGAACGCCTATCTTATCTGGATGATCTTGGCATATGGTTTACACATGTCTTGGACTTTGAATGCCGAATACAATACGGAGTCTATATTGTATTTAGATTAAAAGGCGAAGAGCTAAACCAGGTGTCCAAGTAGTATAAATGCACCCCACAGCCCCATTTTCCTCCTCGGTCCTCATAAGTTCTATTCTTTCCAGTCAATATCGATATCAACAGCCAAACTGCAACTTGCGCCATCCCCGAAACCAACCTCATGATTATACACCGCTTATGACAGCTCGCGTATCGTTGCCTCTTGATGTCAAATATAGACCTGTTAACATCAAATCCAGTATACTATGGCAGATTACAGCCCACTCCTTCTTGGCTACCCACATGTCACGATCATTTAGATTATGTACCATTTCAGAATGTCTCATAGGACATGAATCTTGTGGTTAGAATAAAAGCTGTGGGGCTTTCTTGTTCTGGCTGAGTAGTGCGGGGCACATAGGGATCTAAGACAACAGAAGTAACCAACAGCCCAAATCTAGAATTGAACCATTTCATGTCATTTAACGCCCAGAAGTATGGTGCATCTTTGGCTGAGTCTCAAAATCTCGGTGTGATATAGGAATTTGAATTGAAGATTATTCGATTTTTTGTATATTGTAACTATTGATGCTATCTTGACCAGGTGGTTTCTGTGGAAATTATGTAAGCCTTTCTAATTCTATGGGCGCGTAGAGAGCGGTATGTTATAACGCCTTGATATAGAACGTGGGAATGTGAATGGGAACACCTAAAACAGGTTTCATGAGCAATATATTTCTGACCCGTCAAAGGGTACACTTGAGATAATCCATATTCAGCCCTATAATGTCCAGTTGTTCTCCACATGAGGCTGAGTGCACAGATTCACAGAATGTGAGAGACAAGAATAGAAAATGTGGCTAGGGCGCTTACAATAAACATACCTAGGTATACCGAGGTATACCTAGGTAATATAGGTCGAAGAGAACACAGCCACAGGACATGAGGCTCCGTGAAAAGCGGAGTTTCCTGTTTCTTCTAACAAGGCTGACCGGGGCTTTTTAATATGTATTCTGGTATTCTGGTATTCTTTAGTTATTCTTAGATAAAATAAGTGGGATGCGCCCGGCGCTTGAGTTCCCCCCTCTCTGATCTTCGGCCCCCATCACTTTTTTTTTTCTTCCTCCTTCACTTGTTTTCTGATTTCTAATTAAATCTACTATTTGGGACTCTCCCCAGGCCCAGTTGACTTGTGTATTGGGGGCTTCACCAGGACAGGTACCAGATCATCACACTTGGGCAACCAACCTGGGAAACTCCAATATAATCGACCTGGCATAGATTATACAAACACCCCATGCTTCTTGATTCGGTTTCATTTGATACCTCCCGTTCTCGCGGTCAATCTTAGGCTAATTGACATTTGAATATGTCGGGCGCCTCCCCACTCAGCGCTCAGGGGCAATCGCCAGATGCGATCCAGGATCGATATGCTCCCGATCCTTACCTGTCAGCCGCATCCGATCCGGAGGAAATCTACTTTCGAGCCAGTGCCATTCGACTAACGCCATCGGGGAGTCCTGGGCACAGTACGGGACCTGGCTCGTCCCCCCACGAGGACGCTCGGATCGACTCCACAATTCAGGGCCACTTGGGCCCGAGAGCAAATGATTATACGGACCTAAGCACATGTACCTCACCTATTTCTGATACAAGTGTCTTTGTGGAACCAAAAGATATCGAACTGGGTAGTGGTTCGACCTGGCAGGATGAAGACCTGCGATCGTACCAGATTGGGGGGCCCAATGTGCCCATCAACCCGGCATGGGGTTCGTCCATGGCACCGAATGTCTTTCGGTGGACGAGCTCGGACCACAATCCAGATTCGAATCCATCATCCATGCTGACAGGTCTAGAACCTCATGGCAATTCTAGCATACAGCAATCGATCCCCACATCATACCAGTCTGGCCTCGGTGTCCTTAACGCAGGCACCGAGCCAGCTAGGCTCGACGTTTTGCCTAACGAAGAGTTGAGCACTGAGCTGGCGTCAGGCGCAACTAGGGGAAGAAGCCCCGTCTTCAAGATTACAACCTTCTCTCGAGGCGATTCGCCCAAGGAACGCAGCATGTCACCACAAAGGCATCTAGGCTCCTTTGTACACCTATCTGCTAATCAAAGCGAGCTGGAAGACGAAGACGATGATTGTCACTCGGTCTCGTCTGCTCCCGTGAAGCGATCCGAGGACGGTGGATGGATTCCAAACTCATCGACTCACCTAGCTGGCATTGACCCAAGGTCCCGGGGGGATGAACTCGTGCCAAGTCCTAATGACGTCTATGTTCAGCGAGAAAGGAACGAGAGAAATGAGGACATCTCCCACTGGTCTGTCTCTGTGAGCGCAGCCAACAGCGACGCCGGGGACTTGCCTAGTCCACCGCGTCCACGCCCACGCCATGTTTCCAGGAGACTTCGAGCGAGGAGTACCGGGGATCACCCTTTGAAACAAGAAGACTATTTCAATCTAAAATCTCGCACCGGAGACGGATCATTCCCTGGTCCCGGGGTATTAGTTCATGAAAGCAGCGAAGACCTCAGCGAAGATGAAGCAAGCACTGGCACTTACTCCGACGAGCCCTCAGCCAATGTAGATGAGCCTAGCAGATATGATCGCAGCACTCCCGAGGTCTATTCATCACTCTCGCCGACCAACGCAGAGGAAAGTATCTGTCTTTACCCCTGGCATGACCCCCCTCGCGATGCGACACCCAGATCACAAGCGATGCAGCCGGACAGCTCTACCGACGCTATGATAGCTTTTAACAGACGTGCACGGGATCTCGAAACGGCATCGCTCGCGGCAACAATTGATAATAATAGCATTATCAACGTTGCCACATCCCTCGAGAATTTTTCCTTTACCGAACAACCCAAGAAACGCACCAGTCTATTTAAGCGTCCATTTTGGCAGGCATCTTCAATTCTGAAGCGCCAAGCATCTGATCTTTCCATCGGTCAATCTAATAGCTACCCCGGGCTTCCACAGCGTGATACAGAGGACTCACCGGCAAAACCCAGTAACTCACAACTAAATTTCTTGCACCGTCGTCATTCGCGGTCGCCAAGCTTGAGCAACGCACTTCTGTCAGTGACCAGCCAAATCGTCGCTGTCGGGGGTAGCCAGCCTGTCCGAGCAGTGTCGCCTGCACCCTCGCCAAATCAAGAGAGGAGTTCCTTGAACATTCAATTCAATGGCCGAGCTCGAAGCAGAAGCGAGATCCCCCGACCAAGTAGCCCCGGGCTAATAAATCTGATGACCGCTCATGGTGGTCCGCCGGTTCCAAACATCACATCGCCTCGAATTAGTTCGGACGCCGACCAAACACCCAGAAGTACCACTGTGGGCCCTGAAACCGGAAGTGCCGACGATGAGAACGATGTTGACACCGGTAATAACAAAGGCGTGATCATGGAGTTCCCTGCTATTCAGAGTCTGCCAGTGCCAACAACCGAAGGGTTCAGATCGCAGATCATGCAATTGAATCCAAGGCTTGAGCCAGCTTTGATTCACCGCCTGGCACATGAGCAAAACCGTCGATACAAGCTCTTGGTTGGTTTGCAGCAGAAGCATTCTATTGCAACTGCCAACCACACTTGTAAATCTGCCAACTATTGTACTGTTCAGGGTGGGCAGCCCACTCTGTTGCAAGACCATAGGGGCTCCAACGATCCTGAGGCAGGACAGATCCAGTTCCAAGTGACAAATTTCAGTTACGGACACGAGCAACAGTATGCTCCAGGCGACGGTACGACGCCCGCGGCACAGTTCCCTCCTGGTGTGCCGCCTCCGCCAGTCAGTCGCCTTCCCGCCCGGTTTGAGTGCCCAATTTGCTTCGAAGTCAAAACCTTCCAAAAACCTTCCGACTGGTCCAAACACGTTCAGGAAGATGTGCAGCCGTTTACTTGCACCTTCCCTCACTGCACCGAGCCCAAGTCATTCAAACGTAAAGCAGACTGGGTTCGCCACGAGAACGAGAAGCACCGACACCTGGAGTGGTGGACCTGCACATTCCCCGAGTGCAACCACAAATGCTACCGGAAGGACAATTTCGTTCAGCATTTGGTTCGGGAACACAAAATGCCAGAGCCCAAGATCAAAAAAGCGGGCAAAGCCTCTAGCACTGTGGAGGCTGAGACTATGCCGAATAGCCGAAGGGAGCAGGAGCTTGAACGATTATGGCAAATGGTCGAGAATTGTCGGCATGACACCGCCCAAGCGCCCCAGGAGGAGCCATGCCGCTTCTGCGGGAATGTCTGTAACGAGTGGAGAAAGTTGTCAGTCCACCTTGGCAAACACCTGGAGCAATTAGCCCTGCCCGTTTTACGATTAGCGAAGCCGAGCAGCGCAACCCATGTCGCCAACACCAGCCTAGTGGAGCCGACTCGCGGATCATCGGCAACTTATCCCCCTGTCGCGCCATATCACCATGGACGCGAAGTACTCGAAACGGCCTCCACTCATCTGCAGCCGCAATATGCGATCCGAAACACTAGCACGCCCGCCAACCCTGCGTTCTCAATCAACAATGTTCCGCTGACAAACTACTCTACCATCTCCGGCGGCGAACTTTCACAGGAGCCCGAATCCATCACGGACTCTCTTACCCCTGATCAGTTCCCGGCGTACACGCACTCGACAGGCCAATTTGGCCAAACGACACTCCACTCAGCTCAGGCCCAGGCCTATCCCCTGCATCAGAACTCGGTGACGTACCCACCGCCTTATAATGCCGTTCCGAGATCGAGATCCCCCGAGGGAGATCCCATGCAGAACTCGTATCCTCTCGCTCAGTTTCTCCCTCCCTCTCTGTATCCTGTAGACGGGAGTTACCCGGCTTACCAACCCATGGAGTCCAACATCCCCTACACTTCTGCGACCTACACTTCTGAATATCCCTCCCAAATGTGATTATAGATACGATGCTCCCTTGAGATCACCTTTTGACCCCTTCTTTTCTATTTCCTTTTTTTTTTTTTTTTTCCACTGCTTATTCCCCTTCTTCGTTCTATTGTCAATTCTTCCACATCAGCTGCATCGTAATAGATGGCGCGTGATCACTAGGAGGAATTCCTGTTCCTTTTTCTTTTTCTTTTTCTTTTTCTATCAGGAGAGCTATGCAAGCAGGTCCTAATCTTATGCATTTCTGGAATGATATGATGATTTAACATCCGTTTTTAACGTGTGCAATATCTACATATTTCGGCTCAGGAATTTTGTTTCAGTTTTGGCTAAACGGCGATGTGCATGGTATATGAGAGATCAGATTTATGTTTTGGCTTTTCCTTTTCTGTACTAGGCTGTTCCCACTTACACATGGTTCCATGGTTCAATAACATCAAAAAACCACGGTAATCTGAGACTCAAGTAAACAATCAGCTCAAAATAAATTACAGGGTTTCAAAACCCCCTTGACTCCTAAACTCGAAACTGCATAATATGTACCGTATAAACGTGTGTGCACTTATTATTCATCCCTTGCGCCAACATGGCCTGTATCACTGATCAATGTCGATCGTCTGTCCTGTCACAGCCCAATCTGGTCCTTACTTCCATTGCAGCCCTCCCTTTTGAGGTAAATTGTAAGATCTTCATGGGCTGGAGTTATCTTGCATACCTCGTGCAGGACTAACGACATTATCTGTGTGGGTTTGTGATACGTGTATACTATCTGAGATTGGTGTTAGCGGGCTGAACCAACCCCGGGAATCCGGGAGATGACGGGGTATCCGCAGCCGATCGTGAACCGGACGAGGCTTGGTCAAAGGAATATATGATCTTGGGCCGTTATTGGATGTTAACTATCAGCCTCATGGTTATCGAAATTATCACAAGTTAACCCTATTTAAAGAGTATTTCACCCGGGTGAAGGTGTCGGGCTGTGGGCTGTGCAATCAAGGGATGACATGTTGCATTCCACGCTGGCAACACGCGAGGGTGAACTTTGGTCTTAGCTTTTACTTCTTTTTCATTTCTGTATTGCTTTTTTTTTTTCTTTCTTTTTTGGATATTCTTTTTTTGGGGCATATTTCCAATGCAGTTTCGGTTAACACATTCCAACCCTTGAATTGCCTATCGCGTGGTGAAGTCAACCGGCTCGGGGCGAGGTGGAGATTGCGTGTCTCTCGCGTGTAGGGTTTGGCATTTGCATGAACCTTTTAATACTGTGCCCCTCCCAATTTGACTAGTTATTTTCTCTTACAAAAATTATCACTTTCTTTATATTACATTATATAGCTATGGAGGTACGTGCCCTGCTTACATGACCCCGCGGCTCTCAATCTAACTCCCTTAAGGAAACACAGCTGGGCTGGAATGACTCCACAGATATCCTTCAAGGCATCATGGTTGGAAACGAAGGACACGATCTTTCCGGTCCTAAATCCTCAAATCTCCCCTTCGACGCCGCAAACCCACTACTAGACCTCCAACTCGGATCACTCGATCCAACTCTTCACCACTCACTCTTAAGCCAGTGGCCTTCACACTCCCGAGACCCATACTACTCCCAATACACCCACTCCCGTCTGACAGGCGACCAAGATGCCTGGAATCCGCTGCTGGCCACCGGTGTCCCGGCTACCTCGTCCATCCCGCATATGAGCATTCCTGCCCAGATGCCCGACCAGGACTGCTGCTTCTCGCAACATTATAGCGAGCCTTCTGAGAGCGGGAGCCAGTATATGGATAGCTATCACTCTGCTGATTCCGGGTATGGTGGGACTAGTTGTACGACGCAATCTGTTGTTGCTTCTTCGTACAACATGGATTCATCGAGCCCACAGATGGACATGACAGACAATATGTCCGCCGAGTCGGTGCCTTCGTTTGACCATCCCAAGTATGGATCTGTGTCCGAGGCATCGTACACATCGGAGTTTATGGGCTCGCCGTCGCAGTTGGCTGATGCCTCGATGCGATGCGAGCATCCATCGTGCAAGTGGGTCGGAAAATGTCCTTCGGACAAGAGGTATGTCCTGTTATTTGCAATTTTGAGCATTGCAATGGCAGGAAACTAAAATTTCCCAGGAAACACGAGGCTCGCCACAAGAAGCTGTTCAAATGCGACGTGCCAAATTGCCCGCGGAAGGACGGGTTTGGCACCATCAATGATCTTGCCCGTCATAAGAAATGTGTTCACAATAAAGAGCCTGAGCGTGGGCCAAAGATGATGTACATGTGTTTCGGGACAAACTGCCCGCGCCCGAACAAGAGGTGGCCGCGCCTGGATAACTTTAAGCAACACCTGAACCGGATGCATCATGAAGAGGACGGGGAAGCGCTCTTGAAAAAGTGAGTATAAAAACAAGAGTTCCAATGTTCCAACCACTAATTTATGAACAGGTCTATGGATTGGTATGAGAAAGTCATTCTCCGCCAACCAGAACAGAGCCTCGACAACTGTAGCCCAAGAGATAATTCAGTATTCGAAGCACAGGAAGACGAGATGTCCGTCCAGTCAACCCCCGATATCGAGCCAGAATATGGTTCCAGGTCGCAACAGAAGACTGATATCTTCACATTTGGTGCTGCCACGCCGAGACCACCTCAGTATGGTATGCCGTCTCTCGTAGACTCTGTGCCTTCTCAATTCCCCGCTTTTACCTCTCTGGGTCTGTCGACAAGTCAAGCCTCTTCCGCTGGATGCGGGATCACAAGGCCCGATGGATCGGTTACAGACGCAGCTGATAATTTAATCAACGCCATGACAAAAATGATGAACAACCGTGGACGGAGACTAAGTCAGAATACCGACGAGGGGATTGACCTCGAGACCGACGCTGCTCAGCTTTCCCAGCCCCAACGGCAGATGCTGCAAAAGGTGCTCTCGGTGGCCTTGGAACGGTTATCCGACGACAACGAAGCCACCGCCCAAGATCATGATAGCGAAAAACGCGGCTGGTTCCAATGTGACGCGTGCCCAAAGCAAACTCGACTCCGCTGTGAAATGAAGTAAGCCACCTCCAAACCCTTCCGTATTCTTATCCCAGTATTAACCATGGACGTCATCAGGAAGCACCAAAAGCGTCACGAACGACCCTATGGTTGTACATTCCCTCACTGCGCCAAGTCATTTGGCAGCAAAGCCGATTGGAAGCGCCACGAGAGCTCCCAGCATCTCAGTGTGCCAAGTTGGTTCTGCACAGAACACGATGTGCAAACAGGCGCCTCGTGCGAGCGACTGTTCTATCGACCAGAGACATATACCCACCACCTGCACCAGCATGGGGTTCATGAATATCAAGTGGCAGCTTCAACTGGCAATAATCGGCTCGATTTAGCGGGCCAGTCGCATTTCTGGTGTGGGTTTTGTAACTGCAGAGTCCCGCTAAGGAACTATGGCCCCGAAGCCGCAGATGAGAGGTTCAATCATATTGATATCCAGCATTTCAAGAAAGGAGAGAGAGGTCAGGACTGGCGATTCCCGTCTTCATCGCTCGGGGGACGCGATATGGATCAGACCAAGGATGTTGCCGTACAGACTTTTGACCACAGTCGGAAGACTGCAGCGACTGGCGAGCGGAAGCGCAAGTATGCTGCAGCATGAAATGCCAGGTTCTTGAATATTGACATCCTGGTCGTGATATAATAAGAATATTCTGCAATGTTTGGTTTATTTGGATCATCAAAACAATGTATCTCCAATTCTGGAAGTGCCATGGCATTATTCAAAGCCACAATATAATATGGTACAGGTTATCTCAAGTTTTTCTCAAGATCGGATTCATTTCTGGGTGCTAGTCAATTCCCGGGCCTCTTTCTCTAGCACGGCCACTTTCTCTGCGGGAAAGGTGAGAAACATGCATGATGGGGTAATCCGTTAATTTTTGTTGATCTCACCATTCTTTGCCACTTTAATCTCATCCATTTCCAATTTTAACCAGGTCCAATAGAGGACTTGATAGAAGAACACGCCCCCCAAGAAGACCTTGGCGAAGGGGCCGGCAAAGGTTCGATATTGATTCATCTAGGTAGAAATTAGAAGATTACAACTTAATACTGCCATCCAAAATAAAAATTATACATACCCCTTCCTTATATGCACTTGGCTCCTGAGATGAGTTGAATATGGCTTGTGTGGAGGTGAAGGTGCGTCGACCCGTGAGAGCTCGAGCAGATTGAAAAGAAATCACAGCCGGTGTAAACCGACGAGCTGAGTGTGAAAACATCTTGTGATTCAAAGCAGTTAGTGCCTTCTTTCTCGTTGATATCCGAGGAGACGAGCTAGGGTGATGTTGAAGTTCGCGTTCCATTTTCGGGTATGGCGGTCTTGGCGTTGATCCCTCAGGTGTCAATTTATTCGCTTTCTCTCATTATACATCCAAAATAAGTCGAGAGAAAAGCGAAGTACATAGTTTTCAACTACCACATGCTTACTAGAAATAAGTTTGAAAGAGTTATGCGTTGATTAACCTCAAATGACTTTCGCAACATTGGAAGGCAGGTTCTGGTCGACCGGTCTGATGCTTATATCTATGATCGAGTAGCCGAGAGACTTGATTTGTTTCGAATTTCGGTTTATTAGGTTTAGTTGCTAATAACACACAGAGTTGATCCTTTTGGGTGTCGGCGCTTGACCACCCAATGATGTGATACCTACATAATGTATAGTTCCAATCTTGGAAGTTAACTTGCTGTACGACTAATTCATTTCTAACAACATTTCCTCTGGTATGGTCTGTGAAACAGAGACTTGGTTGGTTGAACCACCAGAGTCTGCGAAAATGGGGAATATGTATCGCAATCCAAATTTGTAGACAGCAAAGGCGATAAGCAAGCTAGTTGTCAGCTCGATGTCTTCGTACAGCTTATCATGGGCGACTACCATGTCCGTAAACTTTCTCAGTGAGAGGAAACACTGTAAGAAAGATGTCTCGCATTCCGAAAAATGAACAACACTGATGAAAACGACGCACAGCTTCAGAAATGGGACGAAGAGCGAGACGCGCTCCAGAAGAGGTACTGGTATCAACAGCGAAAGCTCTACACCTGTCAATGCAACATTGCCAGCGGGCCTATAAAACTTGCCTATGAATCATTGAGGGAGAATCCAAAATGGTGGATGCAAAAGGAATTGGTCAAGGACTGTGCTGGGCGAGGTGGTTGCTGCGGGCGTGGCTGTGGGTGCTGTGAGAAACGCGAGCCTACTCCTGGACGAAGAATGGGAGCCGGGCACTGCACTTCTGAATTCGCATGCTATGTGAGCTCTCAGGGATTTGAGTTCACTACAGAAGAGGAGGACAACATTAGAGATGCGCTGAGAGTAACTCTCGACAACTTGGATTCGAGGGATTATCTTCTCACCTTGTCGCACGCTTATTTGTTAAGGGACAACAAGGTCGAGCATGTCGATCTGGCGCCAAAGCGATCCACATGGAGGGAAATTATCAGAAAACAATAGATGGCTACTCGTGAAATGATGCTTTTGACACCATTTCTTGGAGCTGGAGATTCAATGGTTGAGCTATATATATAGTCAACAGAATTCATTGCTATCCTGAGACTGATTATCCCTGTAGAAAATCAAGGTTCCTTTGATATCACGATGGTATCCTGAGAGGCCTAGACAAGGTAGATACTGGAGACACGATATTAGTGGAAGGCCACTATGGCTTTCATCGGCTCTGTAGTGTGACATAAATGGAACGATGAAATGTCATAAATAGAAATGTCATTATATCAAAGCAGGAGATGTAGAAGAAAGCATAATTGAACTAGAAAGAAGGCAATATATATTCTTGATTGACCTGCATGTCCTGGGGTTGTAGATCTTCGGGGCAGCACGAGCCACTGCTGAGTCAGCGGCACATGATATCAGGTCTAGTCGAGAGCGTCGCAGAAAAAAAGGCAGCGGAAAGGAAAAAACAAAGGGCCCTATTCTCGTCTTCTTCATGTCCCAGATTGCCCTCTAACACCTCCTGTCATCATTGTATCATGTCATCCCCCCCCCACCTTCATCAATCCTGAATATTGCCGTATTGGACCATCAAAATGATCGAAAGAATCCATTTAACCAATTCAGGAGTAGAATGGAGCACTACAATAGCTCGATTCATGGGGGGCTTGATTCATGGGCTGATGGGTGACAATGGCCATTGAAGCAATTCCCCCCATGGAGAGATGGCACGTGCGTTCTGTTGACTAATAGGGTGCGCCACAATAGGTGGCTGATCCATTCAGGCAGTCAGCCCCAATGAGCGCGAGTCCTTTCCGCCCTTCTTCCCTGAAGTCTTTGTTCCTCGAGTTCCCATCATCTTCTACTTTCTTTTACTTTCAACAATTCTTTCCGTGTACTGCGCATTTGTCCTGGTGGCCGATAGCTTTCCAACACTTTTGTTTTCCCACGCGTTCCCGAGTCCGTGAGACCCTTCCACCTCTGCCCCAATTGCGCTCCACCACCGTGCCGTGTCCGCTAACATATTGATCAGCAATTGTCGGGAAGAAAGTGTCAAGGTTGCTGCTGTGACAGGCAGATTTTTTCCCTTTGGTCGGGTGGTCCAGCTGTTGCTGGCGACAACTGAACCATTCGTAAGTGTTGTCCCTCCTGCCCGCATCGCGCAACGCCGATGACCCGCCTTTTTACCTCTTTGTATCTTGCTAGTTATCTTGGGTCTTCGACCCCTCTCATTTTGTCCTCGTTGTGCTCCCCAAATTGGTGCGGTTTGTGCTGACTTTTGTGGTTTCAAAGTGATCCCCTAATCACCAACACGGCGCCATGGCTCGTAGCGCAAAGCGTACCCTGGACGAAGTCGCCAACAAGTCCGACTCCGACGACGAGGACTACAGCGACCACGCTCGCTATTCGCGTTCCACCGGCCGGAAGTCAAAGGCCAGCCCCAAGAAAAAGTCGCGGCCGGCCCCAAAGAAGAGACGACGCAGCTCAGACGACGGTCTCACCTCGGACGATGAAGACCTGTCCGAGGATTTTGACTTCGATGAGGTGGAAGAAGAATCGGAGGAGGAAGTTGAGCGCAATGTCAGAGGAACGGCGCGTCGACGGACCACCCAGAGCCGTCGCCCGCACTACGGGGAACCCGATTCGGACGAAGAGCTGATCAACGATGTTGAGGATGAGACTCGAGATCCTCCTACACGCAAGAGCACCGTCATCAAGTTGAAGCTCCCGGCCAATTACTTGGCTTTCTCTAAACGTGTAACCCGCCGTACCCGTGACGCTTCAGAGGATATCTACGCCCTTACCAACTCTGGCCGTCACATACATACCGTTGAGCAAGGTACACATACTCCAGAAGCCGAAATTTCAACACCGTCTCGCCGTATTGCCAGAGTCGACCGCATGGCCAAGCGCACGATCATTGATGAAGAGGATGAAGACGCTGAAGAGCATGAGGATGTGGAGGATGTCATCAACGAAACGACTATTCAGGGCTCGCAAATGGAGGTAGTGGAAAGTGACGTGCCTCAAGGCGGCGCTTCAGGTGATACATTGCCAGTGAATGATGGAGACCACGACCAAATTGACGAAGAAATGCTGGATGAAGACGTCGTCCCTGAATCAGAAAATGGCGATGCAAAGAATGATCATTCCGAACACACCGAGGAACTCCCAACAACTCGGCGACGAAGCAGGCTCTCACACGATCAAGGTCCGGAGGAGACTGCCACGCAAGATGTGGAGACAAATGAAGAAGCACAGCTACGTCGATCCAGTCGTAAGCAGCCATCCCGAAGCTCACAGCGCAAAAACAAAAATGAAGAAAGCGATTTCGAGCCAGAGGAGGAGCCGTCGAATGATGAGGAGGAAGACTCTGAGCCTGAATCGCGTGCCTCTCCCCGCAAAGAAATTCAAGCTCGCGAGGAAGCCGAGGATAGCTCCGCCAGTCGGCGCCCTGGCCTGCGCCAACGGCCTTCTCGAACCCGCGCACCCTCAGAGGAGGCAGAAGAACTTGCAGAAGAACTAGAAGACCTTACTGGTCGTGCCCGTCGCCGTGCGAAGCAAACAGTCGTATACGAGAAACCGCGTCGCAACCGAAAGGACGTTGACTATCGAATCATTCGGCCTGAAATGCTCCACCCCAATGAAGACACCGACAACGAAGTGACCGGCTCTCCATCCCGGCGTGGTCGTGGAGGTGGAGGATGGCAGCGAACTTTGTTCTCTACATTAGGCCCGTTCGGCGGCGGTGGTAATTCAGCAATTCTCGGTGTTCCTGGTGGCCCTACTGCGGTCGGCGGAGCTGACAGCGATAGCAGTGATGATGAAGGTGCCCAACAGCCAAATCGCACTGGTCTTGCTCCTGGGGTTGGGGTTGCAGCCACCCACAACCAGTCGGCTGACCCTGCTCAGAATTCGTCCGGCACGCCTGCAAACCTCGGCAAGTTCAATAACAAGCAGGCTTTGGCTGACGCGGATCCCCTGGGGGTGGATATGAATGTCAACTTTGACCATGTTGGTGGTTTGCAAGGGCACATCGACCAATTGAAAGAGATGGTTTCTTTGCCGCTCCTGTACCCAGAAATCTTCCAGCGTTTCAAAATTACTCCTCCTCGCGGTGTTTTGTTCCACGGTCCTCCTGGTACCGGAAAAACGCTCATGGCTCGCGCTCTTGCCAACAGCGTCAGCTCAGAAGGACGCAAGGTTACATTTTACATGAGAAAGGGTGCGGATGCTTTGAGCAAATGGGTCGGCGAGGCCGAGCGACAGCTTCGGCTTCTTTTCGAGGAAGCTCGCAAGAACCAGCCTAGCATTATCTTCTTTGATGAAATTGACGGTAAGACAGGCCCTTCTGAACGCATCGTTGGCCGTTGCTAATATTCTATGTCAGGTTTGGCTCCCGTGAGATCGAGTAAACAAGAACAGATCCATGCCTCGATTGTCTCAACCCTACTTGCGTTGATGGATGGCATGGATGGCCGTGGTCAAGTAGTTGTCATCGGTGCCACCAATCGACCTGACTCTGTTGATCCTGCTCTTCGCCGCCCTGGTCGCTTCGATCGTGAATTTTATTTCTCGCTGCCTAACATCGAGGCACGTCGTGCTATTCTTGACATCCACACCAAGGAATGGGATCCTCCTCTTCCAGGCAACATCAAAGATGAACTAGCGGATATGACAAAGGGTTACGGTGGTGCTGACTTACGAGCGCTTTGCACCGAGGCTGCAATCAATGCCGTACAAAGAAGATACCCCCAAATCTACAAATCAGACCAAAAGCTTGTGATTGATCCGAAGACAATCGATGTCGCCCCCAAAGATTTCATGCTGGCAATCAAGAAGATGGTGCCCTCTTCAGAGCGGTCTACCTCATCTGGAGCGACTGCCCTCCCTCCGAACATTGAACCCCTACTTCGTCATCCATTATCTGAAATCAAATCTTTGCTTTCCGAGATTCTTCCACAGCGAAAGAAGCTTACTGCTCTCGAGGAGGCTCAATATGAAGAGCCTGACGACAGTGCCGGCTTTACCCGAGAGCTGCTTTTGCAGGAGTTTGATCGATCGCGTGTCTTCCGACCCCGAATGCTCCTTCGGGGCCCCCACGGCATGGGCCAGCAATACCTTGCGGCCGCGCTACTGCATGTGTTTGAGGGCCTGCATGTGCAGGCCTTCGATCTGCCCACTTTGCTGAGTGACTCAACCCGCTCCCCAGAGGCAGCTGTCATCCAGCTATTCACAGAGGTCAAGCGACATAAGCCGAGTGTGATTTACATTCCCAACATCCAATTGTGGTTCCAGACTGTTGGACCTACTGTCATTTCTACCTTCATGAGTCTTCTGCGGTCGGTGCCACCTTCTGATCCAGTTCTTTTACTTGGTATCCTTGAATCACAAGAAGAAGAAGAAGTGGATGATGGTCTGCTGAAGAACATGTTCGGTTTTTCCAAGAAGAACCAGTATGACATATTTGCTCCAAATCATGATGCGCGTCGTGAATTCTTTGGAAAAATCATTGAATTCGTCAAGACTCCCCCGAAAGGATTCCCGAACCCAGAAAATCGCAAACTTCGTCAGCTGGAACAATTAGAAGTCGCGCCACCTCCGCCTCCCAAGCCTGAGGCAGAACTCACCAAGGAGGAGATCAAGGCTCAGAGGAAGAAAGATTACATATCCTTGAATCTTTTAAAAACCCGAATTCAACCTATTATGGACCAGGTCAAGAGGTACAAGCGTTTCAGGTCGGGCGTAATCGATGAATCCCAAATCCGATACTTGTGGGAGGAAGAAGACCCCAACATTGTTACTAGTGATCTTCCCCCGGATCAACAAAATACCTTCCGGCCTTATGAAAAAGCATACGACAAACATGGTGTGTTGGGTCTTCGTGAAACTGCCACTGGGAAGTTCTACTACAACCTGGAGATTGTAACAATTGAGAAACGCCTTGCAAACGGATACTACAAACGCGCCATCGATTTTGTGGCGGATGTCAAGCGAATGGTCAAAGATGCTCGTCAGACTGGTGACCCAGAACGCATCCTGCGGTCGAGTGAACTTTTGACCAATGTCGAAGTTGATATCGCCGGTGTTCTGGTAGCCGAACCAGCACTCATGGCAGAGTGTGAGCAGGTCTATCTGCGTGAGATGGCTCGCGAAAAGGAGGCGGCCGAGCGTGAGAAACGTGTCCAGGTGGAGAACACAGTTCATCCCATTCCTGAGCCTACCAATGTGTCGCACAGTAACACTGAATCGGGCCTATTGACTGGCCCAGTCCAACTCGGCGAGGCGTTCCCTGATGATGGGGACGATAAAAAAGCAGCCTCGCGCCCCGTGACCCCCACATCCCAGTTTAAGAGTTTTGCCAATGGAGATCATCAAGGTGATGGTTCGGATCTCAACGAGTTTGGTTCCCATGCTGTCGGCGTGAGCAATGGTACCCATGGAGATGGAGATGGCGACATTTTCATGTCCAATTCTGATGATCACTCGGGTAGCAAGGACACCCAGGGAAGCTCATTTGGGCCGTCTGCACAGCCGAAGCCTCCTTATTCGCACACTGCCCCTTCTCAGCAGATTCGTCGAGAATCTGGTCTTTCTAGCTTCTCTCAGCGAGGCCCCATGACTCCAATGGCCCCCGGATCTCAGCCAGCTGATTACACCAACGAAGCGTCCACTACTCAGACGACTTCTGATAAGAAATCCTCCGAGCATCTGTCAAATCAAACCTACCACACTCAAAGCCCTAATGTCTCAAGAACCGAATACCCCGACCTTACTCCATACCCCGATCGTGTGTCTCAGGAAGATCACCTGCCTGACACCCAGCAAAACGATAGCAGCCAGCCTTCTCCACATCCTCGGGACTCACTGCTTAGCAATGCAGACACCCAGGAGAACAGTGGTTTGAATGGAAGCCAGTCGCAGTCGAAGCCACAGCCCCCGCTGTTCGATGCACCCAACATGCCAGGAACCAATGCTTCAGCCAACTTGCAGTCGATCCTGGACGAGGAATCCCATGAGCCATTCGTCCTCGATCTTGAGGTTGTTGAGCGTCTGCACACGCAGCTAACCCTGTCAACCAGCGGCTTCTCAGTGGAGCAGCTGGAGCAAATTAACACCAATCTGATGGACTACGTGTGGCACCAGCGTGGAGAATGGAACCGTACTAAAGTCGCCGATGGTCTCGGCAAAACATACAATGCAGTCCTTGAAGATATGCAGGAGATGCAGGAGATCGGTCCCATCAGCCAACAGACCAAGGAAATTCTGGCCAACCTGAGTTTCCAGTGATAGCTGTTTGATGGGTATCCCATAGTTTCACCCCTTTCTTTTTTTGTTCCTTTTTTTTTACTTTGTCAATATGTTGACTCGGTTCATATTCCCCTTTGATCTGGCGATGGTGTGTGTTTTTTTTTTTTGCGGCGAGATGGATGGATGGGGGAGCAAATGTGTCAATCACCCAATTTCTCTTAATTGTTTATGCAAAAATTAGTTTCAAGTCATTTTGACATGGGAAATGTATGTAGACTATGAGAAAATAATGGTTTTAAAATGTTCTCTTGTAATTGTGTTTATAAGATCTACACTTCATACTTGGGCAGTGAACATGTGACGCGACCCACTAAACACCCTGGCCTTTCGAGCTTCACCTTTGCCCACTTCAAGGCCCTTCTTTTCTTGGATTTCACCTTCATACTGGTTATGACAGCTTGAATATTTCTATCTACTCTCCCTGGACCGTCAATCCCTCAATATATCCCTGCCCCCAAAAAACCACATCGCCGCAATGTTCGACGTGGACTGGCTCAGTCTCGCCGTCCCAATCGCCTACCTAGGCATTCTGTTGGGATCGCTTGCCACATTCTCCTCTCTCTACCGCAAGCGCAAGTCCCGTATGTGAAACATCCCTAGAAACCCTCGTTCTCTCTACAACTATTTCGCGCGCCGACGTGTCCAGTTGTCCTAGGCTAATATATGATTTGTGAATCATTTTAGACAAGGCAGCATCTCTAGAGCCATGGTTCCCTGCCCATCTCCAGCGCGATATCTACTTCTCTCTCCTCCACCTTGAACCCTCAACAACCACCGCGAATGAGAAGGTCCCCGCCATTCCCGACTCTATCTTCAAGGCTTCTCTTCTCCGTCGCGCAGCTGAAGACATCCGTCGCATTATGGCACTGCGCAGCCAGAAGCAAGCTCTCACAACGCTTGTTCAACGTGGTAGTGTCGGTGATGATCTCTGGCAGAGATTCCAGCGCGCAGAGAAGGAGATGGAAGACGAGGTCAAGGATGTGGTTTCAGAGGTATGATGAGCTCCGTCCTCCATCGCCAATAACCCATTACTCTTGGCGAACAAATGACTATAAATATATCTTGTGCTTTGCTGACCAAAATCCAAACAGGCAAACGCATATGTCCCCGGCTGGGGCCAGACTATCTTCCAGTCCGCCAATGAAATGATGAATAACGATATCTACCGCAAGCGCATGGACGATCAGCAAAAGAAATTGGAAGAGGAGCGCCAGTGGTGGAGCAAGAAGAAGACCAGTATCCAGGAGGAATTTATGAAGGAGTTGAATGAGGGCTCGGCGGCTTCTACCGACGCAGCTAATACTACCAGCACAACCAAGTCCTTTGAGGCTGCATCCACGACCCCTGCTGCCCCTGTTTCTGTCCAGGGCAGCGATGACGATGCCGTTCTTGTGGAGGCGGAAACCTCGAATACGCCTGCTTCTCCGCCAAGCGCAAAGAAGAAGAAGGGCAAGAGCAAGAAATAGATATGAGTTTTTTCTGATGTTATCTGTACTTTTATGGTTCGAAATACACTCTCATTGTTAGGGATTTTTGGGCTACGGGTTTTGCAGGAATTATATCATTATACCAGTTATGGGTGAGCTTGTTCAGAAAACCTATCAAAGTACTCCTGTTTCGATCAAATGGTGCCACCGTTGGCCATCAATTTTCATATTTCTTACTGTACTCTCCTTCCTACTAATTTGGTCCCAGCTTGACTATCCTTTTTCCATGGATGCCGAAACGTAAGGACATGAGGCGTCCTCAAATCTCTTTACCAAGGGCTATATTTTCCTTTACCCTAACAATCTTGAAAAGCTTGGGGTCCAAGCCCTCCATGACCATATCAGATGGGAAATTGATATTCAACCCTTGCTTCTTCCAGTCACACCTAGAGAGGGTTCTTAGAAATACAGGATCTCCGAGTTATTTGATTCACTAAGCCTAAATGACCTTTTGGATGATCAAAAGAAGGACACTTTTGGACCCCGTTATAATGGCTCCCTTAAGTTACGTCTTATCACGACAATCCCAGATTTTGCTGCGAGTGATGCAGACCAGAGCCTCTGTCTCCCAGTTTCTCGACGCAGAAGAACAAGACAGTAAAGAAGCCCATTCCACTATTTGGAGCCTTTCAAACACTCATATTAAAAACAGGACCCAAAGTTTAAAAATGTTGAAATAAGGTGCTTCTTTACAACATGGAAGTTAGCCTCGGTGATATGCTAATAAACGACTATAGAGGCTCCAAAGAGCATCTCTCTCACGACGATCCAAGTGATAAGGAAGAGGTGATATCAATTGTACTCAAAGATGGCGATAACAAAACCCTGCAAAGAGCCCATGTTTATATAGATGGCTCGGCTAACAAAATCAAATCCGGGTATAAATAAGTGTTTTTGAAGGCATTTTTGGCAATGTTAGTCGGGATATGTATATATCATACTCTCCTCTTCCTGTCTCCATTCTTTATGAAGTAAACTCAAAGACATAAACCTGTTGCTCAGAGGGAACACGGGGCGTTCTGTCAATTCAAAGATGAAAAGAGTTCGGTTATCATGTCGCACACATATATCTTGAACTTAAGGATACATGCCGACCAATACACGAACCGGCAATTCACGGCCATATTTAGTTACGACCTTAGCCACTAATCTGACAATAAGTCTCTTGCGGAACTTCTTTCCTCCGGTCGCCATCGAAGCATCTTGCGCATGAATGCAAGAAATAGTTGTTGCTGTTCACCTTGCAAATTTCCTTCAAGCTGCTCTAAAGCTCTTGGAGGAATTGGAGCCGCTCCCTTCCAATTACCTTGATTTCTTCAGTCAGTATCGGGAGCCCTAGAGGTCTGCGTTATTTGAGGGAACGTACCTTCAGCATCAAAGAAGTCTGCAGCGTAGTCGCTATTCTGTGTAGCATATCTCTTGGTGGTGGTCCAAGAACCGCAATCATCTCAGCGATGTGATTAACGTCGGAGTTTTGCTTCCGTGAATCTCTACCGTAAAATAGATGCCCTTGTTGGAAAAGATCCCAGGTCTAGAGCAATTGCATCGTTGTTAGTTAGAGAAGTTTGCAAGTAAACCAAAAGTCACACGACTTACGACGACCCCGATATTCCAAATATCAACCTTTTGATCCCAAGGCATACGTAATAACACTTCAGGGGCCCGGTATATATATGGTTGAATATCACCAGAGTAACGGGCTGACCCAAAACGAGTATGGCCGAAGTCACATAGAATAGGTCGGCCATGTTGCTTTGTTTTTTTGAGCTTGCGAGATAAATAGATCACCCTGTTCCCAACGATCTTCCGGCGACTGGGATTAGATATCTCTTCCTTCTCAAAATCAGTTCAATACCGAGCATGAAATTTTTTTGTATGTCCAGAGAGAACGCGTTAGAAAGGATTAATAAGAGCAAAGGGTTCCAAAATTATCATACCAGTGTGGATAACGCCAAATTCTGTGTGGAGGTAATCAAGAGCAAGTAGGAGATGTAATAGAGTCAATTTCACTAATTTTTCCGGCAGTATTTTGGCTGCGAATTGGATACGGAGGTCATATAGACTTATGCCTAGAGGCTGATGCACAATGCATTGGTAGAATCCGCGAGAAGGGTCGAGTCCTTGTGCGTCGATCTGGAAGCTATTCAGCGCCGTCCGAACAAACATGGCACCGTCATGGGATGCATTAGACGTGTGAAGGTGGTCGTAGACTTTGACTTCTCTTTTACCCTCGGCTGAATCACGTTTGAACACTTTCAATGTGACATACTTATTTATGCTGTCTATGACACTCAATTATTGTAACAATTCTCCGTGTCGATAGAACATACGTGAGATCCCTGCAAAGCCACACCGTCGAGTATCCCCCATATCCTAGTTTTCCAATGACTTGATACCGAGATTGAAAAACTTCGCCGACTTTGACAGCATAAGAGCTATCTGGCGTGTACCATGGAAGTGTTTCTTCTTCAAATTTATCATTTGAATCGAGTGGTTGGAAATTTGATTGAGTGAATTGCCGCACAGGTGAAGCAGATCGAAAAAGAGGACGCTTAGAAATGCGGCCTAGGCGAGATAGTGCTGCCATAGTAAAAGCTGAAGACAATGTTAGATTCAAGGGGTGACCTGACGTTTATACCGACTGATCTCTGGGGCTTGGACTGTGACCGCCTCGGTTCTGTCACAGTCATGTGGCTAGTGTAGACCTGCCAGAAATCATATGTCGAATGAGGGACTCTATGGAAGACTTCACCGGGGTTGACTTGGCTGGGGGTGGTGCGGCCTGCCTTGAGGATAGGTTCTCTGAAGAGACCTGCCGGAAGAGATATTTCCCGACTATATAGGGATTACACAAATGAAGGAGATGCGCAGGTAGTTTGAACCTCCCCTTCTCCACGGTCTCGAGCAATTGGGCGTATTGGGTGCGGATATGACCTCTCCTCCAAAGGTAGTTTCGTAGCTTCTGCGGATGGTGAGCATGAAGTAAGCCAGTGTCTTGATTTGTTTGCGGTTCAACTTTTATTCTCTAGCCCTTTTCCATTCGACGCAGGCCGGCTTAGAGGGAGTTGGATCAGGATTGAGTGTTCCTTTCTTGTTTGGGCTGGGCTAGGAGTCTGAGATCGGGATCGCTTTCGGTTGGTACCCCGAGAGGCCACTCTCTGCTCTGGTTCAGATTCAGATTCAGGCCCTAGTTCAGATTCGGTTGTTAACTCCGGATCTAAGTCCACATCTGCCAGATCAGAGGTTAGACCAGGAGTAGGCGTGCGCGGATTCAGCATTCGAGGGTTTGTATTCGATGGGATGCTTACCGGGGGTTGGGGACCTGGGCTTTCCCAGGCTTGTAGTGCCCAGGTAGGGTTTTTTGCTTTGGACATGGGTTAGCAGGACTGGCTTCCTAGGTTGGATTGAACTGGTTGGGTTAACTGGACTACCAATAGTTCTCGGAACGGATTCTCTCGGACAGCTAGCCGAGCGGCCGTGTACCATTCTGGGCCCGTTGGAGGCGGAAATGGTTATAACTTGGGGCTGCAAATTGGGAATAAGTATCTCCGGCTATGGGTTGCAGTTGGCTGGCGTAAGACATCATCGGTTGTGGTCGGTCGTGTATCCCAGATCTGGATATGAGATGGGTGTTGACCTAGCTGAAACGGAACGTTGCTGTAGCGCATCCCATACACAGCTTGCGGGCCAAGGACTGGTTGAGACGGATTCCCACCAGACCTCGCTTGGGCGAAAACGGCCTGCGGGTAGTGCAGCGACATTGAGCTGGTGGAATTTCCGGTCATGGTTCAATTGAATCAGATATTATGGGGAGATTGGATATCGACCCATCGTCTTGCCGTAGAGGGAGAAAGCGAAAGGGAGAGAGAGGTAGAGGGAGCAAAGGTAAGAAAGGCAGCTGAATTTACTCAGGCCTATGCCCTCAGCTAAATGGAAACCCAGACGAAATATGGGTACATCGATGTAAGCACCTATGTTATGTCTAAATACAAAAAGAATAATATACATAGCCCTAATTTGGGAGTAAAACCAACCTAAACGAAACGCCATTTCCCAAATCCAATGCAATGGAGCCAAAAAGTAACTGGGATGCTTGGTGATATGGTCAATTACAGAAGCTTGCTATCGTCTACCCCCATGGGAGCTCCCAGGTCGATATGTTCGGCCAACATCTCCTTCGCCGCCACCTCGAGTTTATTTTCGACTTGAACTGGATCCAAGGCATCTGCTCGGCTCATCACGATCCGCAGTAGACTGGCCATAATTTCCAGTTGGTACTGTTCCATCTCATGTGGATCCAGCTGCTCAAGACTCAATCCTTGCAATCGCAGGTTTTCAGCTTTGCGGTCGCCCAACAGTTCTAACAAACGAGTGACTTGGCCAATATTCTCTTTACTTCGTGGCGTCGAAGACAAGCGGCGGAGGCGCCGTTTCGGTGTATTGGCTGGTACACCAGCCAGTCGCGCAATTTGAAGTACTATCATGCGGGCGGTGGTATCATCAGGTGTGAAGCCGAAGGCTGAATGCATCGAGTGTATGACGACCAATGTGCCGGGGATGTCTTTGGACAGACAGAAACATCGCACAATCTGATCAAATAGAGCTCTAGGAATCTGTGCTTGGGTGGTTTTCTGAGTGCGAGGAGATAACTGGGAGTACCAGGATATCATGTTGGCATAGAGCTGACGTGCTGATGGAAAGCCCGCATCGAAGGCAGTACGCCCACGGTCGTATTGGAGCTTGGCACAGTCCCAGAGGCAGGCATATGTTTCCACGTCGGGCCGGATAGCGGTAGACATTGTCTGGAACTTGGTCCATAGATTTTTCACGTCTTGCTTTCGGAGCTCTGCGTATAGCAGGTGATTCATGAAGTAAGAGTTCGGCTTGATATGAGCATCCCCAAGGCACTTGACCAAGTATTTAACCATGTCGTCGTCGCCTCTGCGTGTGTAATGAAGAAGAAGGATAGAGAAGGTTTCGATGCTCGCAGGCGGGACCTCTCTCTGCATAAACCGAGGCATGCGTACAGATTCTGTCTCCCCATACTTGGCTTGAAGTTGAGGAGAACTCTCGGCTGGCTGGTATCGTCTCCATACAACATCGATGCGTTTCTGGATCATGGCCCACCCAAGTCGCTCTGCCTTATCGCGTGCACTTGTGTTCCCGTCACGGAGCCAGCCCGCAATGATTCCATTCAAGTGCTTGCTATCAGGCTTGACACACCGCTCATACATAAGTTCAATGACCAGAGCAGCAGAGTCAACCTCGCCCATACCAATGAGCTTCTTCATCCAACTTGCGTAGAAGAACCGATTCTGGAACTGGCGAGGCAACACCTTGAGCGCGGACAAAGAGACCTTGTTCACTTCGTTTTCGTTGATGCTCGATGCATGAAGGTTACCAGCCAGACCCAAGGCGGCTTTGTACAAAGCAGTCGAGTCATTGGCCGGATCTTTTCCTGTCACCATCATATCTTTGAAGATTGCAACTGCAGTATCCAATCGGCCGGCCGTGAGAAGGGCAATGCTGATCTGATCATAGTCGTCCATTGTCATATCCGAGCCCAGGAATGTCTTCAGCCGCAGATAGAGTGCCCAAGCCTTTACTTCAGCTTCCTTTCCGGGCAGCCTTCCCCATGCTGTGATGACAGGGATGAGTACACGTGGCTGACGAGTTCGATCATTTGCCAGGAAAGCCAAAGCAATGTCTTGAGCTCGTTGTGGGTTGTTGTCCGCAGCAAATAATCGCACTCCGAGCTTCCAGTATTCTTCCAAATCCTCCTTCTTCTGGGACAGCTCTGCTTGATATGCCTCCCACTGTTCAAGTGCAAGGTTGGTGGAGCCACTTTCGTGTAGGGATGTGATATAAAAGAGGATTTGAGGCGTAGCAAGTGCTTGGCCGATAGAAGTAGCGTCCCGGACCAGGATTTGTAAATGTGTTGAGCGTGTAGCCTGGCCGGACTCTCCTATTGCTTGTGAATCCCATAGTGTTTCGATTGCCCTCTCGGGCATTATTGTCAAAAATCCGGGGATAGTCTGCTTGCATCGTCGGTACCACTTCCATAAGTCTTGTCGAGCCCGCTCGTCTGACATCTTTTCTTGGAGTTGTTGTAGGGAATTGTTGAACTTTATAACGTAAGGATGAGACTCTGCCCCTGCACGCTTTGCTGCTGCAGATCGTCTGGCAGCTATTCTTCGCCGACTCTTGACTCCATCCTCCCAATTCTCTTCTTCCATCGCAAGGCCTTCGAACTCCTCTCGTAGCATATCATCAAGCTCTTTGTCGAAAACTTGATCCAATCCAGGCTCGTCTGCAGGCTTGGGATTTTCCTCATCAAATTTTCTCAGAGCTTCTAGGGCAATCTTCCGGTCCTCTTCTGGCAAACTCTTGATGAAAGGACTGTTGGGAGCGAAAGGTCCCTCCTCCAAAACCTTCAATTCATCCTGGAGCTTCGCGAGCTCCTTTCTGACCTCATCTCGCTCCTCAATCTCTTCGGCTTCGGGGTCGGTTTTGCGTCGTGTTTTGCTCTCGAGGGATTCTTGTTCGTAGAACGTGACTTTGTCATTCGGTCCGCCAAAATTAAGACGCCGCGGAGCTACGGCGGAGAAGACCCGGCGTGGAGCGCGTGTCGATGGGCTGCGGGCCACATGCTGACACCATCGGGCTCCTTGAATAGCCTGGCGCAGCATGAAGTCTAAGTTAATCGGTCATCGAATGCGACCAGAAAAGTTGGAGAAGTGAAAGAAGTTCAAGTTCGGAAGAGAACCAATTATCGCCTGATTAGGCTTAGCGCCTGTCGCGCTTCCGCCCTTGAAGTCATCCCCATTGCGACAACCCAGTTATTTCGAGCAGCAGCATGGATACTGATGGATTGAACGATGCATTGGGCTTGTCAAATGACAAGTCCCAAAACCTGGTTGGTCATAAGATCTGATTCTTGGGGCTGCGCGCTAACAAATCATCGCAGGGTGCGTACATCTACCAACCGCCCAAACATGGAAAATCAGCAGGCGAACGACCTTCGAAGCGCCGCAAAGTCTCGTCGACTGCCGGCAGAGACGAAGAAGCTGATCGGCAGCGCTTTGTGCCCCTTTTGAACGGAGACGAGAACGCCGAGTCCGTCCAATTGCGATACGGTACCTATCAGGAGCTCTGGTCCAAGCAAGAAAACAAGATCCAGGTCAGTGAACCAGGCTAACAGGTGGTCATACTGATAAATTACTCACTGGTTCTCAAGGATATTCTCGAGGATGTCGATGCTGAAGTTCTGACGGGTGTGTTGTCCTTTGTCAGAGACACCTCACCTCAGACGTACGTTCCTATCCCAATGCGATCCACGAACGTGCTCTAACTGGGGACTTTAGGTGTGATGGATATATTCCTACGGCTTTGGTGACCGTTGGTTCAAATGTGTCCTCACTGAGCAGATTGCTATCACGGCTTAATGGTCAATTGATATCGACCGAAGAAGGCAGTGTCGTGGTATTGGAATCAGGCGATGCTCCCAATTTGAAAACGACGTTGAAGAATATTATCCGGGCTACCGTTACAAATACGGATGGAAATGATGGATATCAAAAGTTCCTTACGGATCGTGCTGTATGTGAACGCATCAAAATATCAGATTATCGTACTAACCGTCACCAGGGACCTCGACTTCTCGGTTACGATTTAGATCTTCTTCACGACTATGTGCAGAGAAAGGGGACTAAAAAACTGGTCCTAGCTCTTCGAGATAGCGAGGCCTTCGACCCTGGCCTTTTGACCGATCTTTTGTCTCTATTCAAGTGCGATTCACTTTCCCGACTTTGGTCGATATCCTAACTGACCTTCTACTAGATCATGGCTCGACCGTATACCATTCACAGTACTATTGGGCATCTCTACCTCTGTAGAGCTGTTCGAAGGCAGACTGCCTCGCTCGTGTGTCGCTCTCCTTCGAGGAAAGCATTTCGAGGTCCAAGAGGCCGGAAATTGTGTCGACCGCATCTATGAAAGTCTCCAGACTGACCTAAACACCAATCTTTGGCTGGGTCGCAACGTTACCAGCACTCTGTTTGAGAACACAAGTGACTATTTCCAAAGCCCGGAGGCATTCAGTCGCATGGTCAAGGTGAGACCTATCCCAATAGCATTGAATACAGAAATCTAATTCATGCAGTATGCATACATGTCACATTTCTTCGCAAATCCCCTGGCAGTACTATTAGCCAACCCAGATTCTAAAATTCTTGCCCAAACCAAGCTTTGCGAGGCCGTCAGAAACCTGCGATCATTCCGAATGTAAGGGTCTCCGATCTCCAAGTTATATCTCAACTAATTTGATCCCAGGTTCTGCGAAGATCTAGTCGAAGAAGGCTCCATCAAGCAAGTCCGAGATATGCTAGAAGATGACGAATATCTCATTCAAGAGACGCCCAAGTACCTGGATGCAAACCAGCAAAGAATGCGAAACATGTTCCAGGCAGTCCGTGTCGTACATACCTGCCTTCAATACACACAGAGCGCGAAAAAAACCAATGTGTCGGACCTCTCCGTTCGTGCACTCTCTGGCGAACTGTCTGAGTCCACTATTGTGGAAGAAATGGTCGCCACGGCGAAGACTCTAGATTCTGACAAGCTGGATGAACTCCTCGGGCGTCTCCGGGGGATCTTAATCAGTCCAGAGGCCGATGTGATCCAAGAAGATCTCAGGACTTTATTGGAAACGTGCTCGGAGTCCGGTCCACTGCGCAGTGGATACAATATCAATAGCACCGTCACAAAAACCACTGTCGTCCAGCAG